GTCCCTCCACTCCGGTGATTGGGGCAGCATGCTTCTAATGCTTTCCAATAGGGTGATACGGGGCCGAGAGATTGCACAAAGGTGTATAGTATCTTTGTCACGCCTGGACAGGGCATCTGCGGCTCGATTTAAGGTCCCTGCCTTGTAGTCTACCCGGAAATCAAACCCGAGCAGTTTACTCGCCCAGTGCTGTTGAGGTGGAGTGGTAAGCCGTTGCTCCAGCAGATACTTGAGACTGTAGTGATCTGTCTTGACGATGAAGGGTCTCCCCCACAAGTATGGCCTCCAGTATTGTACGGCCTTGGCTAGTCCAATCAACTCGCGCTCGTAGGCCGGTAGCTTTAGATGTCGGTCAGCTAGTTTGCGGCTAAAGAAGGCTATGGGGTGTCCTTGCTGTTGTAGTACTGCTCCAATGCCTATATCGGAACCGTCGCATTCAACCGTAAATTCTAGGTCAAAGTTTGGTAACTGTAGCACGGGGGTGGAGGAGAGTGCATCCCTTAAGCTTGCGAAGGCGGCGTCAGTTGCTTCATCCCACTGGAACGCGTTCTTCTTTAGCATCTTTGTTAATGGGGCAGCCAATAGTCCATAATTCTTAACAAACTTGTGGTAATACCCGGTCAGTCCTAGGAACCCGTGGAGAGCTTTGGTGGACTGAGGTTTGGGCCACTCTTGAATTGCTTGAATTTTGGAGCCATCTACTGAGACACCTTGCCCACTGATTACATGTCCCAGATAAAGGACTTGGCGCTCCCCGAAGGAACATTTGGGCCGCTTCAGGAAGAGTTTGTGTCGGTGCAGTAGTTCCAAAACAGTTTGTAGGTGACGAACGTGCTCAACCCATGATGAACTGTAAACCAGAATGTCGTCAAAGAATACTAGGACGAATCTGCGAAGGTGGGGCCGAAATACCTCGTTCATCAACGACTGAAATGTGGATGGAGTGTTGGTGAGGCTGAATGGCATGACTAGAAATTCGAAGTGGCCATGATGCGTTCGGAAGGCTGTTTTTTCCACATCCTCGGGGGCCATCCGAACCTGAAAGTATCCTGATCTGAGATCTAGCTTCGAGAAGTACTGAGACCCGTTGAGTTCATCCAGTAGTTCGTCTACCACGGGAATCGGAAATTTGTCCTTGACGGTTCTGTTGTTGAGTTCTCTGTAATCCACACAAAACCTCCAGGTGCTGTCTTGCTTTGGTACCAATAAAACCGACGAAGAGAAGGGGGAGCGGCTGGGGCGGATGATTCCTTGTTTCAGCATTTCCGCACACTGTTTCTCTATCTCATCTTTTTGCAAATGCGGGTAGCGGTATGGCCGGACGACGACGGGTTCTGAACCTGGTATTAAAGGAATCCGATGGTCACWCGATCGGGCAGGTGGGAGTCCCTTGGGTTCTTGAAACACGTCCGGGAAGTCGGTGAGAAGTCTCTCCATCTCTGCGGTGTGCATGGTTTCGCCATGGAGAGTATGCACTTGCGGTCTTTTTGTCTTTACCCTGGTTCCCTGCCAGGTGACTTGTTTTCCATTCAGGTGGAAAGACATGGTTAGGGCACTGAAGTCCCATAGGATAGGGCCTAGAGTGATGAGCCACTTAACTCCAAGCATGATATCAAACTCGTCCAAGGGCAGCACAAATAAATCAGCGGAGAAGGGTTCGGATTCGACCTGTATTTGGATGTTCCTACAGATTCCAGGGCTCCGAACTCTCTCCCCATTTGCGACGGCTACCTGTAGTTGCGGTCTGCTTTCCACCGGTAGTTTTAGTTGAAGTGCCGCTTGCTCGCTGACAAAATTGTGCGTGCTTCCCGAGTCCACAAGAATACGTACTGGTTTCCCTGCCACCTGTGCCCGTAGCTGCATGGTTTGAGAGTTCCTTATCCCGGTGATGGCGTGGAGGGAGATCTCGGCTTCTAATGCTGTGGGTTCCTCCTCATCTTCCTCCAGTTCATCTACCAGGAGACAGAATAGCCGCTTGCATCGGTGCCCGACTGAGTACAGCTCGTCGCAGTTGAAGCATTGCCCTCTTGCCCGGCGCTCTGCCATCTCAGCTCTAGATAAGCGTTTGATGGGAGGTGCCGTCATGCTGCTTCCTATGCTGGATGCCGATCTGGAAGTGTTACCTGCGTGGAGCTTTTGTTCCCTGTTGGCTACCAAAGAAGGCCCCCCTCCAGTCAATTTCGGGTTTGTCCATGAAGTCACTGAACGCCCCATGCTGAAAGATCCTCGGCTGATCTGTAGCTTGCGCTCGAAAGCGCGGGCTAGGTTCATGGCGATGACCAGGTTGGGAGGGCTCTGCATTTCCACATCGACTCTTAGGGGCTCGGCTAATCCAGCGGTGAACATATCCACCTGCTAATCTGGGCGTACTGAGGAGGCTCTGGCGAGAACGGTCTGAAATTGCCGTTGGTACTCGGCTACGGTCCCAGTTTGCTTGAGGTTAATTAACTCTCCCAATGGGTTGCTTGTCAATGGGGGCCCGAACCAGAGGAGGCAGTAGGACTTGAATTGGTCCCAGCTGAGTCCTGGTTCCTCTTGCTCTACTCGGTAGAAACAGAGCTGTGCTTCTTTTGTCAAATGAAATGCGGCCAAACTGACCTTATCCCTTTCTTCCGTGCGCTGATTGCGAAAGATTTGTTCGCAGTGGTACAACCATCCTAGTGGGTCGCCGCTGCCGCTGTAGGAAGGAAACTCCAGCCTACTATACTTGGGTATGACCGCCGCTGTTGGGGTGGCGATCTGTCGCTCACCGGATGCCTCCGCCAAATCTGGTCGGCGGCTGTGGGTGGTGGTCGCCCCTTCAGGGCTCCTCTCCCTAGTGGAGAAATACGACTCGAGTGGGCGACGAAGCTCTCGGACATCTTCCTTGACTTCTCTCACTTCCGCATGGTTCTCCATGAGTTGGTGTTCCAAGTCGTGGACCCTGGATGATAGCTGCTCCATATTGCCCATGACGTTTGGCTCTGATACCAAAATGTTATGAGCCCGGGCGTAGGATCTCGTCACGGGTCGGTCCACGGGGAGAACCTCTAGCTTCCCCTTGCCCCTCCCTTTGCGTGCAGACCCTATTGTGGCGACCTAGAGGTGATTTGTTCAAGAGATCACCCCAACTCTCCTTACTCCTTTCTTTGACTGAAAACTGAATGCCTTTATTCTCAATTCGCAGCTCCTTAAATAGGAGATTACAAGAGGTGAGAATCCTCTCTGTAGGAGGACTCCCTGTAAAATTCGACTACTTACAGATAAGGCTAAGATAAATCAAACTCTAAGATCAATCAAACTCCTACTTCTAATAGATAACAAACTCCTAATAGATAAAGTAAGATAAGGGAAACTACTAAGGATAAGATAAGATAAGCTGAGAGCTGATAAGATAAGCTGCCGCCCTGTGGGCCCCTCCTTACTGCTGCTGCCAGCGGCTGTATGTCCTCCCCACGAATGCGTCCACAACATGTGGCTTTGCCATGAACTCATGTTTAGCCTTGGCTATAACAGATTTTCTTGCTAATTATGTGACATTAAGAGATCATATGCATCAAGGTGTTCTTATGCCTTAGAAGTAAGCTTCTGTTGTGAATTGTAGTTGACCTCCCTTAGGCTTTGTTCTTCTTTTATGTTCTTCATATTTTCTTTTAATCTCAAGGAGAAATGCAACCACTTATCTCAAGAAGAAAATATTATTGCTTAAATAAGTAAAAACCCACAGCTTTCTTGCCTATTCACAATTTAACTTTTTAGTGAAGAGAAATCCCAATACCTATTTGACATCTTAATTCCAAAAAGGAAGAGGCCAACCTCACAGTAAATAAAGGATGTCATCACCTTAATTTCCATTTACAACACAACTGTCATGAGAGGTCAAAATAGGATTATAGGACTTGGTTATTATCTCTATAGATTTTAAAGTAGAATAGGGACCCTTGAATTTTCTTATGTGGGTTGCTGATATGGTGCATATTTGTTGCATTGTATTAGAATGCTCCTTCCAAACCTTGAGAGTTCCCCCTCATTCTTCCACCAGTATGTCTACTCACCCCTCTTGTTCTTAACATACACACCTTAAACTTCTACTTTCTTTGCTTATAGTAAATGAATGAAAAAATTCAGATGTTGACTCGTGACGTTGAAGTGAAAATCATATGGGTGCCATGGGGATGCAAATGGATTGGATTGGATTTGAATCAGGTATATCCGAATCCAATCCAAAGATTTGGTCGGATCTTACAAACATTGATTCAAATCCAAATCCATTAAGGTTGTTGGATATCTGAATCTAATCCAATCCGATTTAATTTTTTAAAAAAATTAATAAATTATTAAAAGGAAAAGAAAATCTAACAGTTTATATAAAAAAAAGCAAAAAAATTCAAGTTTTTTTCAACTATTTTCATCATATATATATATATATAGGGGTGATTCGAATTCGATGATCCTCTTATCCGATCCGATCCATCCAAAAGGGGGATATCCAAACCTGACAAAATAGGATCGGATTTCGGATGGGATCATGATTCGATCCATTTGCACCCCTAGGTGCTGAGGGTTGCCAATAGCATGGCAGATGAATTAACAAAGCAAGGGATGGGGAGAATTCAAATGTTGTGAGAACAATTGTAATTAAAAAGAAAAACGAGAGATAGTAGTTTCTCTCTCTCTCTAAAGGGTCTTGTACATATGTACTCTTTATGTTCCGTAATTAGTAAACTGAAAGGTTATTTATAAAAAGAAATATGCAACTTTTTTTTATGAATAATTAAAACATATAAGATAAGAGATACTTTGCTGTAGAGGGAGATGTCTCAAGATGTTGGCCCTTTGTTACCTCTCATTTCCTGGTTGAGCGTTAGATTTTATATAGTAAACATATGGCCATGCAGAACCTAACTCAATCATGAAACAAATCAATCTTTACAAATTCTACATGATATTTACCTATCTTTCTAATGTATTGTTTTTATCAGTAACCTCTTCTTTTTTTATTTTTACGAACTTAATTTCAGGTGGTACATTGCTGAAGAAACAACATTGTGCATCTGGACTGGAATCTTATACATCACTTATTTGAAGGCCAATATTGCAAGGGCATGGTACATTGCTCTGATTCTATCTAATATACAAGCGAGTATCGCTTCGTTACGTCATTGCAAAAGTAACATACTACCTGTTGGATGAATTATATAACCAAATGGAACCCATTTATCATGAGAAAGACAGGTAAAATTCAATAGTTTCCCCAAACCAGGAGAAGTATGAGACCTAGAACACTAGTTAACAGACTCAACACATAGGCTAACCTGACAAGGCTGGTCCCCATTGAATTGACAAGAGAGTTTTTTTTTTTTTTTGATAAATGAGTGGTAATTTTATTACGAAGAGAAGAAAGTGTACAATCACCCTAAAAGGAGACACAAGATGTTACCTCCCCTTAGAATGAGAATATGATCACACTTCTGGCCATTAATCTTAAAACTTATTTGAAGAAGATGTTCACTTTTCTGGCCAAAGATATAGCTCCCTATTAAGGTGACAAAGAGTCCAGAATAACTTGTCTAAATTGGGCTCATTAATTTCCTAATGGCGTTAAAATGAACTGATTAAATGCTTTTTACACAGAAATTTATAGCCACTACTGGTGTAGCAGAATTGGGGTTTAAACCTTCTGGATTGAAAGAACTCCTTAGTTGAACCCAATGGTGCCATAATTCTTCTCCTAAACTTCTTAATCAATTTCTCTAAGTTAGTGAGCTATGGTTAGAATATCTTGGAAAAGTCTGGCCAGTCAAGAAACAACATGTCCAGAAAATGAGTGAGGCAGAGATGTGTATGCTGAAATGGATGAGTGGAGAAACTAGAAAGGACAATGTCAGAAAATGAATTCATTGGAAGGAACCTATGAGTAGCTCTAATAGGTAATAATGTGTGAGTAAGTAGACTAAGATGATATGGTCATGTGCATAGAAGATCATCTTAATCTAGGGGCAGACCAAAAAGGACATGGGTTGAAATAGTAAAAAATGATTTATGTGCTCATAACAATGGATATGGCACTAAATAGAATGGAATGGCAAAACAGGATTCATGTAGCTGACCCAATATAGACAAGGCTTAGATGATAATCTTGGCAAGGTCTGGCTACGGAAATTTTGAGGCTGAGTTAATGCTAAGTGTAATAATTGATGGTGCTATAAATGAGATAACTAAAAGGAAGATGAGGTTCCTAAGGTGTAAAATGCCATAATTATGATTTTAGATTGATATTGGCAGGCACCACCATCTTGTTTTTACTTTTTTATCCAGTTAATCATATTTAGATCTTTAATATTTAACACAATCTTTTGTTGGTTCCTCTATAACATTCTTTTTAATTTCAGAATGAAATGCATTATCAGGTGGAAAGATGGCATCATGATATTGCTTTTGGTTGCATTGTCCATTTGTCTTATCTTTTTGCTCCTGCTGCTTCTTTTCCATAGGTAAGATTAATTCTGTTTCGTATGAATGAAACTGCAATTTAATTTTATATTTCTAGGGCCATTTTTATTAGTCAAATGCATTAGACAATAATTGCTTTCATTCTCTTTATTTACTGCACTGTTTTTTTCTCCATTTTATCAACTGAGGTGGAAAGACATGCTTTCTTTTTTTGATTAGTGGTGGAAGGGCATACATATTCTTAATGGTTTCCTTTTTCTGTATAAGTTGAACCCCCAATAATCCAACATCTAGCTAATCTTGACTTTGTCATCCTACAGCTATCTTGTCCTCACAAACCAGACTACTTATGAACTCGTAAGACGACGGCGAATCCCGTATTTAAGGTTAGTCTTAACAATACTATTCTGTAAGTGTGGGTGCTTAATCATTAAAATTTGTCATTTATCACCAGATGAACAAGGCTTGAGGTGTCTTGACTTGGACTTTAACTAACTATTCTTTTCATTTAAGCTCTTCCATAATTTTCCATGTTACTCTGAAAATCACCCAACATTTATACAGAGTAGTTAAATCACAGCGGCTTAGCAGGACAAGGGATGGGGTTATTCAAATTGGCATGTAAATGGAACATGTAATTGTTGGTCTCCATTCTCCTGTCCACTTAATGCATTGGGATAGAGTCCCTTTGATTTGATATTCTTGACAGTTAACATAAAGGAATCATTCTTTGGCACATTATTTTTAACACCAAAAGCTGACAGTTGACTTAGATGGTTGTTCATGTTTGTTCACCTACTGTCCGCGGATAGATCAATTGGCTTGGTTGCTTCACTTTGCCAACTTGTTCCAGTAATTTAGGTTTTTCATCTCTAACTGTCTAAAAGCATTAAATGGTTGTCTTTCAATGTTGCTAACTAAAATCTTCCTTTGGTTTGCAGAGGGATTCCGGAAAGGGTTTACCCCTTCAGTAAAGGCATCTGTAGGAATCTGTATAATTTCTGTTGTGATCCAAGAAGAAGCATATATGTCATGGAACCATTGCCCACCTCTCAGGAACTCGAAGCCAAGTCAAGACCGTATACATGCTTGGATGTTTTATGTTGTCGTTGTTGCTAATATTTTGGGCTTTTGTATTCTTTTTATTTTATTTTTTTATAATTTGCATACGCTGATTTTGGAATCATGCCTTTGCTTTCTTTCTTTCTCTTCTGATTTTGCTCTCCTTTCGTTAATCTCATTCCATATCTGTATCGACTATTTTTTGGGTTTTGTAGGCTTTTGAAGGGTACCTTTCTTTTTAATAGAAAATTTCTGCAGTAAGTCTTGGAAGCAGAAGGC